TGTACATAATATACATTATATATATATATATATATATATATATATATATATATATATAAATCAAGGAATCACGCTTTCTAATCTTAGTAAAAAAATTAAAACATATTACGCACTAAAAAATAAAATTTATTTCATGGTAATAAATGAAATATATTCGGTAGCGAGATAACGAATGGATAGTGTTCTTCCGTACAAACATTAATGAGAATAAAGTGCCCACTTATCTCACTATCAAATTAAGGGGTTTCGTTTGCCATGATGCGATATTATCTGAGAACACGTGTTGTTCATACGAAATTGTCCAGTTGGAGAAAGAATGTTCGTGGAAAGTTGTAAAAATTCTGAAGGGAAAAATGGTAAGAAAATCACGAGATAGTCGAGCTCAAACTAGGACAGTAGGTCGAGATATATAAAGCGATATCAGTGTCATTATGGCGATAACAACGGTAACGTAAACGCATCGTAAAGCATATTGCTCGATGAACGAAACACGTGAGATTTCACGGAAAAACTGCGGACGAAATCGCGCACGAAGGATGGAGCTCTAGATTGCAGTTTTGTAATCCTCTCAAAAACATTACACAAATCTGACAAAAATCAATCCTAATAATTTAGTTTATTCCTCACGCGGAAAAGCCGACCACATTTATTTCGCCGGAAACTCGACTTATCTATACACGCTTCGCGTGTAATCCCATTTTCGTTGAGATCTGTATCGCGATAATACGTGGCGCATCACAGGGTGTCCGAAAGTCATCGATATATCAAGTAAAAATCGTTGCAAATCATTTTCGATGTCATATTTTAATATAGTTCGAAATCGCATCTCCGACGTGAATCGTGATTTGCATTTGTCTTCGAGAAAGGGAGAAAATCTCAAAGGAAAAGACCGCGATCCTCTTCTCGAGATATTTGTCACGACGAGCACGAACGTGATGAGATATCACGTCGTTGGATTACGAAATAACATTCAACACAGCCGCGATTGTAAGTATTGATGTAATGTGTTTTACTTCCGCTCGATTCAGCCTCGTATAGGTGCATTGTCCTCTCCGCTTGCGAATGAAAAGAATCGCAGTCCTCCTCCTTTTTCTCTCTCTCCAGAGAGTATAATGTGCCCGTAATCTCCCTGCGCTTATAATTCTAGAATGTTTTCCATTTCCAGAGGCTTAAAGGTGTCACTCATCGCGTCGGCCACGTGACAACGACGATGTTTTGTGGATTTATCAATTTTGTTCTGAATAGCGAAACGTGAGCATGTAAATGCAATAAAACGTAATAGATGGAATGGTTGATTGAATTTTTATAAGTAACGCAAGGTGCTTTCATAAAAGCGTGAATTAACGAGTCTATATATATATATATATAAGTCAAGAAATCACACTTTCTAATCTTAGTAGGAAAATTAAAACATATTACGGACTACAAAGTAAAATTAATTTCATGATAATAATAAAATTATAATAAAAATTTCACGGTCTATATATATATATATATATTTCGCGCGCGCGCGTGTGTATACGGGAAGATATTCGCTAGGAATTATCAAGGCAACGCTCGTTTTCTTCCGGAACACGGATGAACAAAGGATAACGTAAACGTTTCGCTGACGTCGTAGGCGAAAGTAAAGCTGTGCCACGGCGCTTCCAGGCGGAACCCGTTGAATTTCGGTATTCGCGCGGACGGAATGCGACGGGAATGGTACCGGCGCGTATGGATCGCGCGGCGTCAGAAAATATGCTTAATGAAACGCTTCTGAATGTCGCGACCAATAATTCCGTTGTTATCGCGAATCTCTCTTCTCCGTTCGACGGCCGTAAAATTGTCTCCAAATCATCACGGATAGAGAACGTTGCGCAA